GGGGGGGTGGGGGGGAGGCGGTGCAGAGTCTGCAGTTGCCCCTCCAAGTGCCCTGGCTTGGACCTTGCCCATCAGTGCAGCTAAAACCTCCAATAACTTGAGCCCAGAGTGGCGTCTTTCCCAGCAGGACAGAAAGCAAAGTGACCGGCTACACAAGGGGGCCAAAGGAAGGGTCAGGGTGGCCCATGAGAGGACTTGGGGGGAGGAGAAGGGAGCCCAAGGGGAAGCACCTGCGTCTCTCACAATGCTCTTACCACATCCTGCAGTGCCCCACTGTTTAGGTCGCCCCCTTATGTTTGAATGTCCTGCCTTTGATGATATTCTCACCCTTGCCTCTGAGCCCCTCCCCAGCTCCTCCCAGGGGCCCAGAGCCCTCGGGCTGAGCCAGGAGGCACCTGAGCACCTCCTCAACCCAGTGTCCTGTATATTAACTTATTGGTCCTGTGTGAAGCCCGTGCCGTGGGTGTGTACTGGGCAGCAGGGCTGGAACTGGGTGGGTTTTAGTGCCAAATACTTCAATAAAGTCTCTCCTTTGTGATTGGTCAAACTGATGAAGGGCCCTTTTGTGTCACATTTGCTGAACAAGGCTGCCCAGCCCTGCAGGCTGCCTGCCCAGTGTGATCCAGTGCTCTGGCTCGTCGGCCGTTCTGGCCAGGCCACTGGGCACTGGGGGCCAAGGGAGGCTCAGGCGCTGCTTCCCTGACAGGATCGAAGCAAGCACAGCCCCCCTTGAAGCTCTTAGGCCTCCTGGGCAGGGGTGCTGTGCTCTGGGGGCACGTCCCCAAGGACAAGGCACCTTGTGGAAACCTCAGCTGGGCCTGGCAGTGGTTAGTGACAATGTGGCCAGGAGTCTCCCTGTTGGGGAGCCCTTGTTGCCCCTGTGGAGACTCATGAGAGATGCTTCTCTGTAGCTGCATGACAGCAGGGAGCAGCTCCTTGCACAGCCCCCTGCAAAGCCTCTTACTGGCTCTCGGTGGGCTGCCTGCAACCCCTCCCCCCACAGAGCACAGAGGGGTGGGGTTGGAGTAGGGAGCTTCAGCTGAGACCACCTCCCTGCTGGCCTGCAGGGGCCGCCCCAGTACCAAGAGCACAGCGCCCCCTGGAGCCCCCAGGCGTGTGCCCTGGCTGAGGCAGCCCAAGTGTCAGGTAAAATGGTCCCTGCAGGCTTGTCCCCCTTCACAGCAAAGGAAGAGGCAGGGCCTGAAGGCCTGGGTGGATAACAGCAGCCGGGGGCCAATCCCGTCCTGCCCTGAGTGCTCAGTCCCTGGGTCCTGCCCTGAGTGCTCATTCCCTGGCGTTTGTGGCTTCAGGGCCCTGCTCACTTAGGCCTGGCTCACTCCCTTCTGGGAGGGGAGGGGGTTGGGAGGAGAGAGCCTTCAGGGTCTCTGAAGAAGTTGTGGGCGCCCTGATCTCAGACCTAAACGTCTTTAGCCTAGCTGGATTGCAGATTATAGCAGCCCTGTTTCTGTATTTGAGAGTTGTGACGAGTTAGGCTGAGGGGGGCCTTGAGCAAGTGTCAGGAAGTTTCTGAGGGATGATCGGTCTGAGGAAGAAACTCCTCACAGCAGGGCAGATGAGACCCATTAACAGGACTGGGAGAAAAGTCTGGGGGAGGCTGCAGGGAGATTCCAATGGGATGCAGGGGATTGGGGCTCAAGGTACGGGGCAGTGACAGAACCAGGTCGGCCGTTACTTCTTCCTGGTTTCCTGGGCTGTGTCTGAGAGGGAGATTTGTGGGGATGCCAGGTGTCCCTCTGCTAGGCTGGGAAGACCCTGTGAATTAGGAAATGGGCTCAGCCCCACGCACAAAGGGGCTGCACAAAGGGGCTGCAGGCTTTAGCGGTCAGCCTCCCAGAGGCAATTTAGTTGGGGGGAGGGAAGAGAGGGTGCCGCCTCAGAGTGTGAAATTTCCCCAAGAGGGGGGAGCCCTGAATGAGACACCTGGGAGGTCAGGATGCATCAGGGCCCTCCAGGTGCCTGGTAGGGGAGTTGGCGGTCAGACCCAGCACCAGCTGCTCAGCCAGGGCCCTCTGCTGTGGCCAGGGCCTGCATCCCACAGCTTCACTCCAGCAGAGAAATTGCACCTTAGGGGGGCAGCTCACCCCTGGCTTGGTTGCCATTCCCATCACCAGCAGCAGATTGCCACCTGGGGCGTGCAGATGAGTCAACAGCTTAAGAAGAAAAAATCCAGAGTCACCTTTGCACACTACTTTGACCATGAATCCTGGAGCCCTAACTTGACAGGTAAGATGTTGGTCCTGCCCCGGCTATGTTTCAGCTCAGAGGTGATGGGCAGCCAAGCCCTTGCTCTGGGTGGGCGGCAGGCTGCCTACTTCTAGGCACCTCTTCACAGCTCTGTGTCTGCACACCTGTCCTCTTTCAGGCCTGGCCTCTGAGAAGCCTGGAGCTGGGCAGGGCCCAGGATGTTGCCTAGGCCTTCAGTCAGGACAGCCAGAGCCCACCTGCGCCCACCTGCCCTCTCTATCCAGCAACTCCCACTTTGGCATCTATGTTCCAGATCCTATCTCTGAATTCAGACTCTTCCATCCAATAACCTGTTTATTTGGCTACTTTGACGCCTCAGAGACAGCTCACCCTCAGAGACAGCTCCCATTTAACAGGTTCCTGACGGAACTGCCTTCATTCCCAACCCAAACCTGCCCCCACATCACTTAATGACCATGCAGTTCTACTTTCTCAGGCCATCTTTCTTGCCATCTTTCTCTCCCTTCTTTTATATCCACTTAGTTCATTCCTATTCCCATCAGTTCTACTTGAAAGACAGGACAGAATCTGACCTTTTCCTCCTCCCTGCACCAGTCTGGGCCACCACCGTCTCTCCCTGGCAGATGTCACGTGCCCCGGCCCTGCTCCCCTTCCACCTCAGAGCTTCTACCACTGAGCAGCCAGAGCCATCTTGGTAAACAAAAGTCAGACTGTTCCTGGAACTAGGCCTGGGTTCTGCCACGCCAAAAGGCCATTAAACAGAGACAAGAATTGAATAAGTGCTTTGATTTTTCAGCTTGCTGACCATCAATCTGAGAGAACAGAGTCCACTGCACCCTAAAGAGGCCATTCTGCCATCTCAGCTCCAGCTGGCCTTTTCATGATGACTTAGACAAGAACAGTCATAAGCAAATAGCCTGTCAGACAGCCCGTCATAACTGAATCGGTTTATCAGAACAGCCCGTCATGTTGATGTTCCTTGTATTCATCACATTCAGCCTCTAGAGTTTGTTATCGGCTCCCTGCTTTTTTATTTGTTTGGTTTTTTTTTTTTTTACTTTTATTGATCCTGGCCGGCTTGGTTAATTTTTGATGGTGTCAAGGTCCAGCACTCATTCAGGGATTATTGGTGCAGGAATCTCAGTTCAAAGCAAATGTTTCAGTTTAAAGCAAATAGGTCTATAGTCAATAGTGTGTACGTGCAGCCGCTGCTGGTTTGTACGTGCAGATTCTACCCTAAGGGTGGTCCATTCCCATCCTCCCTAGACCCCCTGGCAAGCCCACGCCACTCTTACTCAAACCCACTCAGGCTTCTCATCCCACTCAGTGTAAAAGACAAAGCCCTCACAAGAGCCTTAGGTAGTCTTCACGAACTCACCGCCACTCTGCTGTCGCCACAGGCACCCCGGCTCCCCCACTGCAGGCACACAGACCTTCCTGACGCTCCCGGAGCGTGTCAGGCATGACCTGACTAGGGCCGCTGTGCTGGCTGTGCCTGTGGCCCTGGAATGTTCTTTCCCTAGATATCTGTATGACTCATCCTTCAAGACCATGGAAGTCAATAAGATTTTTTTCTGACCTCCTGCATATATGGATAGGCAAACTTAGATGAGTAATTGCAACAAGAATTCTTTCAGGATGTGCAGCAATAGCTCCCGGGAAGGAAGCATGTGGCGTGTGAGTCTCTGCCTGTAAGCTGTGCGGAGAAAGATACCTTTGACCTAGAGGAGAGGAACAGTTCATCCTTTGGGAGTGAACTGATTGATTTCCTACTTGAGCCTGGGGTTATTCTAATTTGTTTACATGAATGAATTAATTTAAATTTCATCATAATAACAGCAGATACTATGATTATCATCCCCATGTTGACAGGTTTGAGCTTAGGGAAATTTCATGTGCCCCAAATGGCTCCTTACTAATTCACTTAATCCTCACAATGGGAGAGACACTACCATCTCCCCTATTGCACAGACAAGGAAAGGAAAGTCGAGAGTATTTAATTTGTTAAAGATCACAGGGCTTTGAACCCAGGTAGCTGAATGTTTCGCTTTGGCTCTGAGCCCCACCCCTGGAGGCTCTGTTTGCCGGTCCCTGGGTAAGAGCCAGGACTCAGATCACATTTCCTTGGTTGCTTCTGGTCTCTGCTCTGCCCCCTCCTCCATCTTGCTTTATTCCTTCTCACAACCCCGGGGGTGGACAGTGTCTATTCTTAGCCTCCCACCAGCTTCTGTGTCTACACCTGAGTCCTGCTCAGGGAGAGCTCTCCACAGGGCTAGACTGCTGCTTTGGGACTCCCTGTCCACTTAATATTCCAGGATTTCAAGCTTCTCTAGGACAATTCCATTAACTCGTGGCATCTGGGAGTGACATGGATAATCTTCCATCCATGGCCATGGCTGACGTTGAAAATCACGAAGCTAAGTCCCGACGCAATTGCCTTATCATTTTGGCTTCTGAGATACGCACCAGGGGGACACAGGCCTAGAGAAACTGGGGTTTAGAACTGGACACTTACATAGTCTGGTGTTTTCTGGGTCTTTTTTTTGGGCAGAGGATGGTAGGGCAGCTCTGCTTTTTTATTGCAGCTCACACAATCAGCCAAATTCCTGCTGACGACCTCTCTTTTGCAGGGTTGCACCAATCTGAAAGAGATGCCTGTCAGCTC